TCATAAAAAGACAGACCTGGAACAAAGCTGAAAATAGCATACACTCAGGGATTGAATAAAATATTTCACTGCTAGGATACATGCAACCGAACATTTCTTCAGAATTTAGAACTTTACTGAAAAGGAACTAAATATTCTCTTTCAAGGATGTCTACTGTTGTTTGTAACTTAAGAAATTTCAGATGGACTTATGTACAGGAATGCACAGTGTAATTCTACATCAAATTGAGGGCCAAAATATTGATCTATTGCATAAGTTGCCTCTAGAAATCACCTACTTCCATTTTCCCCAATGCCCTCAAAAATTACATACAAAAGGGATAGACTCATTAATCTCTTTTTTAGTGGAGAAAAAATGGACTCTACATATGAAAAAGGCTTAGTGCATGTCACAAAGTTGGATATTCTAAAATAAATTTTCATACTGTGGCTGGCCAAATTTGGTTCCCTACCAAATATGTGCCAGTAGGATGGACGTTCTTGGTCTAAGTGTGGAAATGAAATGGTTTTGACTGAGGCACGTTGTCTTCTGACTGCTCTATTGGAGGATGGTAACAATTTTAGGAACTTAGTTGATTGATACTTACAGATCATAAGCCCATGGATGAGTAAAAGGTTAGAAGGTTACACTTTGAATTAATCTTCATATGTAGCTTGCTCTACATCCAGCCAGAACTTGCCATTGAAGAAGTGTTGTCTTTCAGCAATTGGCTTTTCAAATTTCTTTTGTTAAAAAATACTTGTTCGATTTTAAAAGAGTTGTTTGGTTATCGAAGGCTTGGAAAATTATGCAGCTTGTGATTGTGGTTCAGAACAGCTCAAAATAATAATACTAGGAGAATATAGGCATGTAAAAATATCTTCCTCCCTGTTTTGGAGGAGGTTAGGAACATTAAACACATTATTACATTAGTTAGAATAAGTGGACAAAGAGAAATTAAGTGATTATATTTGACATGTTGGTGAAAGAAACTGACAAACGGGAAGAAATATGATGCCATGTAGTGTATATTTTTGCTGTAAGCAAAAGATTAGCTATTATTGGTTTCAAGGTAGAAAACTGCTTATTGCATCTTAAAATACTTGAAGAAGGAACTCTACTCCCCTCAGTAACCTCTGGCAAAGTTTGTCATGTGTCCTCTTCATAGGAAGGTTGCAATTATCTTTAATATTACCACTATAGAGTCAACTCAATTACTTTGTCCAACATTCAGTGATGTAACAGCTCATAAATTTCTAGATGTCATAAAATCATTCCACCTTCTCATCTTTCTGATTGAATGCAAGTGACTCCGTTAACCTCTTTTATAAACACTGCTGTTCAGTTTCATTCCCTTGAGTTACTATTTTTTCTGTGTTGTTTCTGCTTTTGTTAATTTCCCTCATATCTATGTTGAGCTTCAAAGGCCATTCTGATACTGGATGTGAAGAGGGATTATTTCAAAGCCAGTGCTATCCTATTTCTGGTCCACAGCCAACAATTACCAGGAGCATGGATGAATGCTACTCGGGCCTGGACTTTCACTTGCCTATATTTGCTGCCCTGTGCTTTGTTCTTTCTCCACATAACCTATAGTTGATCTTATTCACTTCACTGTTTATTATTGTTCCTTCTTATCACAGACATTTCTTTTGATTAGCCACTGTGTCCTACAATATTAACTGTCATGATTTCTTAGTTTTTGTTAAAATCATGGTTCCCAAGCACAACATTTTTTAAGCCTTGAAGAACACCTCTTAAGAAATGCTTTTGTTTGACATGAAATCAAAAATCTCCAGGCAATCTTCAAATCCGGACACAAGATGATCATAAAGGCAACATGGATGAAAAGCAGAAAGATATCATTATGGTACCTATTTACAGTCATAAAGAAGGCAACAGAAATAAATGCTGGTGAGGTCGTGGAGAAAAAGGAACCCCCATGCACAGTTGGTGGGAATGCAAATTGGTACAGCCACTGTGGAAAATAGTATGGAGGCTCCAATATATCCACTACTGGGTATTTACCCCCCCCAAAAACCCCAAAACACTAATTTGAAAAAGTACCTGCACCTCTATGCTTACTGCAGCATTATTTGCAATAGCCAAGATATGGAAGCAAACTGAGTGTCCATCCATAGATAAATGGATTAAAAAAAATTAGGTATATTTATACAATGGAATATGACTCAGCCATAAAAAAAGAATGAGATCTTGCCATTTGCAGCAACATGGATGGAGCTAGAGGGTATTATGCTAAGGTAATTAAGTCAGACAGAGGAAGACAAATACCATATGATTTCACTCATATGTAGAATTTAAGAAACAAAACAAATAAAAAAAAAAGAGAGAGAGACAAAAAATCCAGACTTTAAATACAGAGAACAAACAGGTAGTTGCCAAAGGGGAGGTGGATGGAAGAATGGAAGGGGATTAAGAGTACATTTATCATAATGAGCACTAAGTAATGTATAAATTGTTGAATCATTATATTGTACACCTGAAACTAATATAACACTGTATATTAACTATATGTCAATAAAAATGAAAAAAATAAAAATAGAATAAATAAACATAATACCTCCCAAAGGCCTTTTCTCCATATACCATGACTTTGGGGGTTAGAGCTTCAACATGTGAATTTTAGGAGGACACAGTTCAGTCCATAGCACCATTTGATTCTGATTATTAGCTATATTTGGACAGACTAAACTGATCATGTGCAGACAGGCTCAGAATTTTGCAAACAAAACAAAACAAAAATGAAGGCAAAAGAACTACTATAAATTTATAGAAACACTTCAGATCTCTTGCTAAGAGGCCAAAAAAGAAGAAATGGGAAATTGTTATAAATATGGTAGTGGCACACACAGTTAATTACCTACTTATTTGCTATTTCTATTTCTTTGATAAGAAAACATCAGTTTTGTTCAGGTGCCTGTTGACTATGACACTGAGGAGAAGCTGGACTCCCCTCCACCCCTTTGAGTGAGCCTTAATTGCACTAAGCGAGTCATGCAAATGACACTCTCCTGCCTATGATTGGTTTTAGGAATGGGTATATGGAACAATCCTAGCCAATGGGGAGAAGGGTATCAGGAAGATTTAGGAAGGTTTTCCTTAATCCTATAAGATGAAGACAGTGCCTTTTTTGCCTTTGAATGGTTTTATGTAATGTTGTGATGCATGGAGCTATGGCAGCCATCTTGTGACAACAGGTTTACAGCTTAGGCATGAAAGGCAACAAAGTAAGATGGCATGGTGGAAATTCTACAAATACCTGGATTCTTGATGAGGTTGCTGAGCTGTTAGATTAACCCATCCTCAAACTCTGACATGTCTAAACTTCCAATAACAGGACTTACTAAGTTTATTATTGTGTAAGCCAGTTTTAACTGGGTTTTCTGTAAAATTGCTATAGAATGCACCTTGACTGATAAGTTGTCCAACACTTATTCTTCTAGTGCTTAGTTATATCCAGTGTAGAAGTTTAAAGGTGCTTTAACACCTACCAAAGTTGATTTTAATCATGATGACCTACCACAGTAACAGAATCTTTTTAGGGTTTTTTATACTGTTACATAACTGAAACACATTTGTGATTGCATTGTATCTATAAGACAAGTAGCTGACATTTTTAGACCAAAAACAAAACAAAGCAAAATAAAACTCTGTAGGAAGAACAATGTCTCACAAGAGAGATTTTTTTTTTTTTTAACACAAAAACTGGTTAATGAGATAGCAATTTTAACCAGGGTATATTATGTCAGTGAACAAAATAATGACATGTGAATTCAGACAGCATGGATTGAAAATGTATATATTTGAATATATCACCTGGGACTGATTATTAAGGTGTTAATGCATTTCTTAAATTCTAGTTGGACCTGGATCTTTTGCTCCAAACATTTTGAAAGATCAATCCTAAATGGAAAATATAGCAATTTCTGAAATTATCTTAAAACTATTACTAATGCATAATCAACCCAAGATGATGGCTAAGAATATTCAAATTGCATGTTTACATGAAAACCATAAAAATTAGCAGCATACTTAAGTAATTATTAATTCTCAGATTTTCATTACTGCTTCATCTATATTGCCAGGCAACATAGGAGTTAAAAATATTAAATAAATCTCTAATAAATACAAAAGGAGAAGAGCAGAAATAACCACAAAAATATATTTAGAATTATCCCCCCAAAATTCTATAAGAAGTAAATTGATGAATGGATTATACCATGAAACGAAAATAACACTTTTAAGCTTTGCAGGTTCATAGAGTACTTGTATGGAATAGCAATACCTTTTAGAGTAGATATTTTAAACCACGCATAGAATAATTATAAAACTGAAAAGCGCATTTTTCACAGACAAATATTCAGTGATGAATCAAAATGTATGTAATGATCTAAAATCAAGATGCTGTTTGCCAACCTAAAAGTATTTGATTCACAGATGATCAGTTTGCTTAAAGTTAATATTCATGAATTTGATTTTGACCAAATAATAAGGATAAGGTAATTTTAAAGAAGAGCTACAATAAACTATTACTACAGGGGGAAAAAAGATTTGGTTTTTTTTCTGGTTTATGAGAACATTTTTTGGATAAAAAACCAGGGTGATTTTGGTACAGGACATCCCCTGCTGGACAGAGTCCACCATTACAATATTTTATCAGAGCAGAAGAGGCTTAGCTAATTCCTCTAATTCTCCTATTCTGGCAGGGAGAGAGGGAAGGTACTTCAAAGATACCTGGAACCACACCTCACACTAACTGCAACCAAGATGTCAGGAGCTGGGTTCCGAGCATTTGCAATGTGTAAAGCTCACCAGTTGATGATAAATATGTATTGAATATTGCTAGAAAGATTTTCACCATGGCTGAGGAAGATAGAGGAGTTTACCATGTAAGAACAGATCTGAGACTGTGTGCAAGGTACATGACCTACAGAGGTCTTATTCTAATTGAATGGCAAGAAAATGAAGTTATTGTGTATTATTATTTGGTTCAGTTTACCTTGGGCTTTTCGTCCAGGATCTGTTGACGTATCTCCTTGTGTTTCTCTACAAGTTTTTCTTGCCGTTTACTTTGGGCCTCTTCTAACTATAAGAAAGTTACAAAGAAAGTAATTTTCATCTGAACATTCAAGGGAATGTTTCCAGAAAAACTTGAACGCTTTTCAGATCTATGGCGTACATTGAATTATTTCATATCCTGATTAAAAACTGCCCTTACAAGTGTAGGAGACTGTTGGTAAGTGTTGGTCCTCAGTGATGGGGCACAGGGTGGGGTAGGGTGATCTATAGATTCTGCTTTTTTTTACATTTTTGTTAATGTTTAGATGAGCCTTTTTATATATAGGTTTGCAATTAAACTTACAGAAACATTGATTACAGAACTAAAGCAGCTCTTCTGGGTGCTGGTGATAAATGGATACAAGGCATGGCATTTCCCTTCAGAGGCTCACACTGTGCTTGCCAAACATTCGTACATGGTTTGCAAAACAGAGAGAGGTTAACTGACGTACCCTCTTGATGTACTGCACCACCTCTTGGATGTACGACCGGATCATCTCTGTCTTTTCCCTAAGAGCAAATGACAACTAGATTATTATATGAGATCATCCTAGGTGAATCTCAGACTTTCAGGTGGAAGTTCACACAACTTTCCACAATCTCATCGCTACTTCAAGAAAGGTACAGTCTGGGCGCCTGGGTGGCTCAGTTGGTTAAGCGACTGCCTTCGGCTCAGGTCATGATCCTGGAGTCCCGGGATCGAGTCCCGCATCGGGCTCCCTGCTCGGCAGGGAGTCTGCTTCTCCCTCTGGCCCTCCCCCCTCTCATGTGCTCTCTCTCATTCTCTCTCTCTCAAATAAATAAAATCTTTAAAAAAAAAAGAAAAAAAAGAAAAAAAAAGAAAGGTACAGTCTGCCCAAGGGCAAGCAAGCTAAATGCTGGGAAGGTTGCCCGACAGTATGGGAACTGAGGACTGGGTTTTTTCCTAAGGGCAACTCTTTACTCCATCTTTATCTGAAAAATCCCTGGGTGTGCCTTAGTCATTTATTGAACTGCTCTTTGACTTCCATGTTAAAACCTTTACTAAAGGGATCTTTTGAAAGGTTAATTAGAGGAGAAATTTCACAGATGTGTCTTTAGGTGGTTAAGAAGCTGTTATCCTGAACAGAATAAAATAATCCCCAGGTGACAGGTGGGAGAGAAGGGGTTCTTTCTCCTTACTCTTCCATTTGACTTTTGTCTTTGGATTTAGCTTCTGTTATCTTCTCCTGCCTTTTTTTGTCCATTTTCTTCTTTAATTCCTTCTTCTCTCTGAAGTCAAAATGTAAGTAAAAGGGGAAAAAAAAAGATAAATGAAACGGCAGTTTGTGTGCAACACGTTTATAGACACAAACCCATTGTAAAGAGAATGCAGGCTTACTTCTCACAGATTTCTTTGAGCTTCTTCAGCTGATTGTTCTGACATTCTTCAGCAACATCCGTCAATTTTTGAATAAGCTGGGGAAAGAAAATGTGTTTGCTGTTTTACATGATCTTAAACAAAGCACCCTCTCCCCTGGATCCCCCAGACAGCGGTATCTGGAGTTACAAAAGCTCTGACTGATGTTTAACAATAGTTAAAATTACCAGGCATCTACCAGGCAAGGGAGACATGATTTAAAACCATCACATTATCTAGGTTTTAATATGAAAGTCTTCTTCTTCTCTCCTTTTAAATTAAACGGGATTCCTTAGATTATTGTGCTGGTTTCTGCAGCTTGGCTCGGTGCAATGACAAGTAACATGGAGGCTCAGTTTCCAGTCCCCACTCTAGGACATCAAAAATATGATTTTGGTCAAGAGTGCTACATTTTCTGAACTTACAAGTTCTGGGTTATAAATGGGATGATCAATGCCTTTGTCTCTTGGAGATATAGACAATTTTGAAGCTCAAAATCATATGAAGATGGTATGAATGTAAGTTATAATCAACCATGAATTGGAATTCTTGGTTTCCACCTAATCCATGTTTAATTGCTTCGAGGACCATGAATTGCCCACCTTAGATAGAAATCGATATTTGCGTCCTTGTGTAGGTAACTTCCAAAGACCATCAGAACTTCTCTTCTATGGTAAGGTACCATTGAATTTTCATACATGCCATGAAAGCAATTCTTTTACTGTTTTGCATCTATTTTCTTATCAAACCAAGCTTCCAGAGGGCAGCAACTGTGTCTGGATTTGCATATCCTTGGCCCTCCACACCTCCTAGTGTTCAGTAGGTGCTCAGTAAATGCTTATCAGTTACATGAGGGCCATTTTGCCCTCCAGCCCCATCTTTTTCTCTTTTCCACATGAAGAACCTATAGAACCTTCTGTCATGACTAAGGCAGCCGTGGTAACTGGACTCCATCCTTCTGACTAGAGCCCCAGGCAGACGGTGTGGGCTTCCTCTGAAAGCCCCCCACTGCTGTTTGCCAGTGATGGAGATTCTCAGATACAGCAGGGTAAGTTGACCAGTTTAATATAAGTGGTTGCTGCAACAGGGACAAGGCAATCTAATCAAAGTCCCAGCACTTTCATTGCTAATTTACATCTGGCCAGCACAGTTTGAAGAGTTTTAAGTGTATTCAATTCCTATTCGATTCTAAGAGCTGCACTGTGAGGTTGTGCTTTTATCTTTGTTTTACATAGGAAGACATTGACATGTGTGGTTCAAGTTCTGGGCTCCCAGCCACAGAGGTGGTAAGTGGCAGAGCTGGGTACAAACCCAACAAATCAGGCTTCGTGGCTTGTGGCCTTCACCACTACCCCATGCTCTTTTCATTATGATTTTATAAATTATTAAAAAAAAAAAAACCAAAACCTTGCTTGGGGCGCCTGGGTGGCTCAGTTGTTAAGCGTCTGCCTTCGGCTCAGGTCATGATCCCAGGGTCCTGGGATCGAGCTCCGCATCGGGCTCCCTGCTCAGAGGGAAGCCTGCTTCTCTCTCCCCCACTCCCCCTGCTTGTGTTCCCTCTTTCACTGTGTCTCTCTCTGTTAAATAAATAAATAAAATCTTTAAAAATAAAATAAAATAATAAAAATTTAAAAACCCTTCTTATGTAAGAGAATAAAAACTTAAGGGAGAAATTCTCTCAGAGAACTACAATAAGGAAGGCACATTAACTTAACATTAATGTGAAATTTGATGCATTCATCTGTGAAGTGGATTAAATCTGAGCAAATATGAACTGGGACTTGGATCAGCAGCAAACCTATTTGATCATTCAAAAGAGACTGCCTGATCATGACCATCACAATTAAAGAAATCATGAAATATTACAGCTTTGTAGTGCCATTTATCAAGCTGTCTAGACATAAAATGTCGGTGTGCAAAGACTCTGGAAATTTCCTCGAGGATTCCTGCAATCTCTACTCCAGTTGAGGGTATGCACCCAGCGCCTTTCCTTTCCCTCAAGATCTTTCTTCTCTCTCATTCACTCCGACGAGTTAACAGGGTTATCCCCAACCTCGGCTGCAACATCAGAACCGCTCCTGGGTAACTTCCTAAAAATGCAGATTCCAGGGCCCGCACCTAGGCCTATGGACTCCAAAGGTCTAGGGGGAGGGCCTGGAAATCAGTATTTTCAAAATTTCTGGTGATTTGGATATTTTGCCTGATCTTGGAGGTCTCCATGGGCCTGTCCTCATTCTGCAGACCATTGTTGAATCTCCCAGCAATGCTTTTGAATTCAACGGCCTTCATACTTCTGTTTCTACTTTGTCATCTGTATCATTCACCTGACTCCAGAATATTCTCTTATTGGTTATGCCGGCATCTACTCACATTTCTTGCTTTCCTTCCACCTCCTGCCCTCATCCTCAGCCACCTCACCATCCAGGCATGGAGACGCTTGAGCTTGAGCTCCCACAGCCCTTGTCCCCACCCATTTCTGACTTTTATTTTGATTTGGTGTCACCTTCCTGTACAGTTGGCAGCACCACATTCCCTCAAAGTTCCACAGAGGTTCCCTGCCTGCTGCATCCCCTGGCCTTCCTCATTGTCCCTCCCTCAGACCATCTGCACTTGCGCTTCACTTTTCTCTGGAAGAGTTCCTGCTTCCTTTGCTCCCAGAACACACACCTTTACCTAAACCACCCAATTTAGCCACAATCCAACAAACATGTCTCAAGTACCCTAAACACCTGGCACTGTTCTGCAAACTCCGAGCCAATGACTTGGCTTTCTAGATCTTGTTACTCAAAGTGTAGCATAACCATGTCAGCAGCAGCATTGGCATTGCCTGGGAACACAAGAGAAATGCAAATTCTCAGGCCCTACCCCAGATCAACTAAATCCAAATCTGATTTTAAATAGGATTTTCGGGAGATTTATGTTCATGTTACAGTTTGAGAGGCACTGTCTAGATCATTGAGAAAGATGGAAACAATCTAGAAGAAGCCCTCTGTTATGGACTGAATGTTTGTGTCCCCCCTCCCCCCCGAATGTATATATTGAAATCCTAACCTCTAATGTGATGGTATTAAGAGGTGGGGCTTTGGGAGGTGATTAGGCCATGAAGTTTGAGCCCTCGTGATAGGAATAAGTGCCCTTATAAAAGAGATCTTGCAGAGCTCTACTGCCCCTTTAGCCATGTGAGGACACCATGAGGAAATGGCCATCTGTGAACCAGGAACTGGGCTTTCACTAGACATCGGAGCTGTTGGCTTCATCTTGGACTTTGGGCTTCAGAACTGTGAGAAACAAGTGTTTGTTGTTTAAGCCACTTAATCTATGGTAAGAGACTAAGACATTCCCTCAAATTCCCTCTTTTCTGTCTCAAAAGATCTTTGGCATTTTATCTACATTCTCTTCATTACCTCAAACTCAGCTCCCTCACATCTGATATAAGGATAATGTTTCCCTCCTGAGGTGGTTGTGAAAGTTGAAAGGAAAAACACACATACAAGTCCTACTAGACCACTTTGTAGGTCCCTAATTTGGTTTCCTTACCCTTCCTTCCAAGAGAAAGGTTCTCGCCCTTGTTTTCCATCCTTTCTTCTCCAACCTGTGGCAGGACCTGATCTACCATTTCATTTTCTCGTCTCAAAATGTCTTCTGCCCTGGACACATTCCCTTTGCATTAAAAAAACCCATCTGTGTTTCCCTTACCCTTCAAGAACTCTGAACTTTTGTTCCACGTTGGACCTTCCTTTCATTTCTACCCCTAGAATGGAAGACCAGTTGCTGCTTCCAAAGCTTCAATGCCCCAGCCCCATATTCTTCATTTCCACCATGACACTTCCACTTCAACCACTGGAATTCACCTGATTTTGCTTTAAGATTACAAAAACTTTTTTGTTACTAGACTTATTGGCCATTTCTCAGGACTTAACTTATACTATTCCAGAGATTCATAGTGTTTCTTAGTTCACAGTGTCCTTGGGATCTCAGTAATTTTTTAATGGTACCCTTAGGCTAAAAGAAATAAAAGGACAGCTCTATTTATTCGTGAAACAGTTAGGTCCAAACTTAATAGTAGTACTTTGCACAGTGTCCAACAGATGTTGCTGTTTCTGTAAAAAAATGTAAAATATCCCATCATGCCCCTGTGAGTTCAACATGGTGCTTCAGGGTGTCTTTGGCATGCAGCTGGGGATCATGACTTTATCCTATCCTCTTGTTGCCAACCACTCTCACACAAAGGTGTCTTTTCTTAATTTATAGTATCTCCAGCAATTACCACAGTCACTTCAACACTGTTAGGGGCTTCAATTCATTTCAGCATCACCTACTGCCTTTGACCAACTCTACCTGAGGATGGCTCACCAGCATCTCAACATTTCTACAAGCAAGTTTAGGATTTGTCTCGCACAGAAGACAAGTCATTGTATTTTCCCATAATTATCATCCTTTAGTTCAAAAGTGGACATTATGTTTGAGTTCCTTCTTGTGTACTTTCCACATCCAGCAAGTCATGGAGATTTGTGAACTGCTCCTGTTACCTGTATCTCACGGCTTTGTGTTAATGGCATTCTGATGCAGATTTTTGTGAACTCTGGTCTGGATTCTGAGAATTCCTTTCCTACCTTTCCTGCCCTCAGTCTCTCCTTACTCCTGCCACTCCATCCCAAATATTTTTCCTTCTTGTATGTACCAAAGCCTTAACTGGCCCTCTATCCCCAAATATGTTATGCTCTGGCTCCAAATTTCCTTTCTTGGCTAGCATTCATCATACCCAATAACCTAGGCAGTATTTTGCTCTTTGAACTGTCCAGGCACACACCTGCTTCTATAATTTCTCTCATGTTATTCTTCCACCTTGATGATATTTCCATTTGAATGGGAGATAGCACAATATAGGACATTCCCATGAGTGCAGAAAGTTCCATTACGCTGGGCTGCTCTAACTAAGAGAGTGGGTACTAGTGGAGGGATCCACTTGTCCATGCCCCTTTCTTTTCTAACTAAACCAGCCTTTGGTGACACTCCCCTTTGACTGCCCAGATAACTCTAGGCTTGGCCCCTTAACTGG